TTAATCAATTCAATCATTAAATAATGTTATATTATACTTAAGATAATGTATATCAAACTTTACATCATTCCAAAATTATTTAATAGTTTATTATATTATATTATTTTAATGTATAATATAATATTTGATTGTACTTATTAAATTTTATATAATTTTAAAGTTATTTAATATTTCATATTTGATTATATATACGTATTACATAATTTTAAAATTATATAGTAATAATAAAATATTTTAATGTATAAAATAAATATTGAAAACATGTTTAAATATTATATTATAATATGATATTTAAAATATGTTTATATCATTTTGTTTTAAAAATATGAATAAATATTTTTTATAATAATATATCTAAAAAGAATTAATCATGTAAAATTTTTATTATTTAAAAAATAAATCATTTGAAATTTTTGTGTATAATTTAATGATGGGAATTTAAAATTTATTGTATAAAAATTATTAAAAATAAATATTTGATCTTAATTTTTACAGAAAATTTTAAAATTTAACTTTTAATGAGGATATTTATACATATCTTGTATTTTTTTTTATCATTAATTAATTTTTAATGGAGATGATGTGAATTAATAGGGTGCGACCGATAAGTTATCGGTGGACAAGGCGGTGACAAAAGAAGATGCTGAGGCGGTGCATGTTGCGGCAGAAATGGTCGCTGAACCCGGCGGAGTGGCGGCATCCATGACAACCGCAGCTAATCTAAATCAACTAAAGTGAGGAGTGCTAGCTAGCTAATACTTTTTCTCAAGGATCAATTTTAATTACAGTTTTATGAGTGTGGTGTGGTTGGTGTTGTGGTTTTTTTTTTTAAATTGAAGATTTATTTTGATAATATATATTTATGTTTAATGTAAATTTAATTAATTTAAGGAATATATTTTAAGACTTTAAAGAAAAAGTAATAGTTGGTGAGCACCAACTTATGTATGAAATTGTACTGAAGTGTTTTTTAATTTTTTTATTGACTACAACTAGTTCATAACTTTTGAATGTACTAATTAATTAATGATATCATATAAATTAATTATTATTTTATTTTATTTTTTTATTTTTTATTTTCTTATTAAATTAGAGGTTCATTTATTAGATGGTTGCATGCAAGATTAGTCCATTACACCGCAATTTATCAAGTATTGAATGATTTTATGAAAGTGGTGAAATTCTGTGGTATCTTCAACTCGATTTATTTTTACGTACCCTTCAACTAAGGATGGAAAAGATATAAAATTTAATTAACATCTTATAAAGTAAGTTTTTTTTAATGAGATTATAAATAATGTATTTATTTTTATTTTATTCCATCAATCTTTATGAGAGTATTTAAATAAATTTATAAAATATTTTATAAATAATTTAAAAGATATTTTGAATTTACTTTGATAAGTTGTTCAGTAAAATTTATTATTTAGTTTATACAAAAAATTATTAAAAATATTGATATAAATAATTTTTATTTATTTTTTTAATTCTTTCATAAACTTATATTTATATTTTTTTATTAAATTTTCCAAAAGTTTTCATTTATCATTGTGAAACAAAAATAAAATCTACATTCTTATTATTGTCAGTTTGTGTGTACTAGACTTAATAATCATATTTTAACATATTACTCATAATGACTAGTCATAATATGCATCTATTGGATCTTTAATATAATAGTAATCTTATATGTGAAAAATTATATATTAAGTGTTTCTGTTAGGGAATACTCTTATTTTAATGTTCTCAAACACTTGATCTTCTTTCAAGCTGAGTTGATAATTTCTTGAATCCTTGTCTCAAAAAGGAGGGCAGAGGATATCTGTAAAGACATTCCGATTTTCAAGTTAGTACTCAATACAGATAAAATAAATATTGTACCATTAAATAATCATATCTCCTTTTTCCTATCCCATTAATACCATATTTATAGTGATATACTTGGACTTGATGGGCCTTTTGGCTCTAGAGTCTAGTAATCTAGATTTTATGTTTAAATAAATTCGAATTTTCTTTTATTTACGTTGACAAGATCATGAGTGAACAAATTCAATACTTGAAATTAAAAATATGATCACAAAGTAAAGAAGTTATCTAATAAAAAATATTATTAAAAAATAAACTTTAAATTTATCTAGATAAAAAATTGTTAGATAATTTTTTTTTCAATTTAATTCCTTTATTTATAGAATATTCAATTTGGTTTTGGTTTTATTATTTTTAAACAATTTAATTTAGTCTTCTAATTTTTAAAAAATAATGGAAAAAAATATTGAATATTTTTAAAAAATTAGAGAATCAAATTTAACCATTTAAAAATAATAGATCAAATTAAATATTAAAAATAAATATAAAAAATTAAAAATATAATTTAATCTTTTATCATTTATATCATTCATTTCATTTTTTTTATAACAAAAGCATAACTTTTAAAGATAAATATCAATTATAAAGTAATTTTTATTAATAATATTTATAAAAATTATACACATATAAATATACATGCATGTGTGTGCACACATATCTATACTAATATCATTATACAATAACAATATCATATATGCAAAGGGATGTTCCTTTTTTATGATTTTCATTTTCATAAAGCCCCTCTTGTCCCCTTCTTTTTATAAAAAAATAAAAAATATAAATCGTTTATCTATTTTAAGTATCAAAATTTCACTAATTGGATATGTTTTTATTTATTTTATTTTATCCTTCATAATAAATAATTATGAGTCGCCACTTTTTTATCTAGAGATATTTTTTTCCCACAAAATATATATAGAAATTCAATCCTACTAGTTTATATAAATTATATATAAATATAAATATATTATAAAAATAATATTATTTGAAGCAAATATTTATATAAATTATTTAATATATTAATATTCATAATTCTGTTATGATATTTTTAATATAATATAATTTATATATTTAAATATAATGTATATAATTTATTATAAAATTTAATTATATAAATACTTTAACGTGGGTTTAGAAGGTATATGAGTTTAGAGACTCCTTAAGTGACAATCTCAATTAACCTCCTTTTGTTGGATTTAAGATAATCCATTACTAAAGGTTATTATCCTTGATCTTTTATAATAATTTACACACACATAAAGATATATGAAGAGGGATCCGTTTACTCTTAAATTTACTCCTTTTAATAATTGGTACTTTACATCAAATTTTAATGATCTAATAATTGAATTTAAAAATTTTATGCATAGATCAAGTCTAAATTTTTTAAAATAAATTAAAAATTATTTGATACTTTATTTTATTAATTTAAATTAATTTATAAATTAAATTATTAAAATTTGATATAAAACATAAATTATTAAATATAACAAATCTAGTTAAATTTACTTTTAAAGTATGTATATATATATATATATATTACATAGACATGATTTACGGAATATTTCAGAATTAAAAATTAAGGACTAATAAAAACAAAAATTAAACCTGAAATATCAGGTCGGATTCCGTTTCTCCTAATTCTATAATTTTTAATAAATTTTAACCAATAAAAAAATATTTAAAAAAAATGTATTAGAAAATTAATGTATTGTTAGCATGTTTTAATATTTATATATAATATTCCTAATTATTTTTATATTTTTAATATTCTCTATTTAAACATAATTTAATTTTTTTTTAATTTTCATTTCTCATACTTTATTTTTCATTTGATACACTCTATATAATGAAAGATTAATTTTATAATAAATATATAAAAAAACTTAATGTATATTAAATGTAGAGATTAAAAATTAATGAGAAGTAAATGAAGTTTTAAAAAACAGTAAGAAAATAAAAAAAAAAAAAAAAAAAAAAAAAAAAAAAAAAAGAATGGGACCCACGAGTGCAGACGAAAATCCAAAATGGGGCAAAAAGAAAACAGCCTCTAAATTCATAGAGAACAACACGGAGCCATGCAAAGTTGCCGTTTCCACCCTCTCTGGTCATTTCAGGTAAAACGTTTCTGTGTCTTGTCACTCCTTAGGCTTCTTCTCTAAGCGACTCTTAGTCTTAGTCTCAAATAGCGTTCCCTCCTTAAAACAACACCTTCGCTGTTCGGTCGGGCATGTTCGGTTTGCAGCAATGGGTCGAGGGAAGATTGAGATCAAAAGAATCGACAATGCCAGCAGCAGACAAGTCACGTTCTCCAAGAGAAGAACCGGCCTGTTCAAGAAAGCTCAAGAACTTTCCATTTTATGTGACGCCGAGGTTGCTGTCATTGTTTTCTCCAACACCGGCAAGCTCTTCGAGTTTTCCAATTCCGGGTAACACTTTGCATGTCCTCTTACTTTTAACTATATGCCCCAAAGCTGCACTCCTTTGCTGACTAACTTCCAGAACCTTCTCTCAATTTAATTTCGGCTGTGTTTGGCTTATAGGAAAAGTTTATTGACACATACCACTCATTTAATTTATTTTCTTTGTTTCCGTATCAACCCGATGCATGTACCCAAACAAAAAATAACTTTTTATCTATGTAAAAATAATTCGACTGCTTGAGTGATATATATATATATATATATATATATATATATATAT